GTCTTGGAACAAAGAGATCAACTGAAATGAAACCAAGCACAAAATACATACAGCGCTTCGAAAGCACAATCCTAAGAGCCCTGGACAGGAGAGAACAACTGTTATTTGTGACTGAAAATGTGACAAGTGTGCTGACAACCTTCCAAAGGGCATTCTGGTATTTTATTATTGTGCTGTGTTTGCTAATATTTGTCCCCTAGTGTTTCTATTCCAGTGTTATGCTACAAATAGGTACTGGGCGGGATGACAGCTCACAAAGAATTTGCTAAATCCAAAGAAGGAGCACCCATGCTTTTCAACTATCTGGACTTGGGAAGTTTCAACTATATGGCTTTTTGAGAAGCTGAACAAAGTCAGCATGGCACCTGGTTTTGGGGCGCGTGGTTTTTTTAATCTATTAGGAAAACACTTTCTTTTCATTGAGGGGAAAAGAATGAAAGGAACTTCACTGTTACCACAGTAGGGGATAGTTTCAGATCTGTGGGGTGAGCCAGAGCAGAGGCTTCATGAGCTGAGCATACTGCACTGGACTGTTCCCCATCTATGCACATGACCACAGCATTAGAGGCAGAATGACTCCTTGAAAGCCAACAGCTTTCCACCTGCTGCTCAATTTGACAGGGCTGCAAGCTCAGGAAATAGCCCATTTACTAACCCTGGCTTCTCTGCACCTAGCGTTCAGCTCAGCCAGCCAAGTCACTGAAGCCCTAATGGCTGTATTTATCCTCCTGGCAAGTGAGGAGACACGGAGAAAGCAGGGAAGAACGGACAGAAGGCATCCCAAAAGAGGAGCAAGGAAAGCCATACAGACAAATGTGGTTTGGGTGTAGAGCACATTTTGCAGAAGGCAGGAACTCCCCCATCCATTAGGACTTGCTGTCTAAGCAACAAGAGTTGCTGGCAGACACAACTGACCTCTCTGAAAAAAAAACTGTTTCAGTAAATGACAGGGAGAGAAAAAATAAAAGATGAAAAGGAAGAGAGACATCAAAAGAACAGGAGCTATACAAACCAGGAGGCAAGCGCAGAGGCCATTTGTCTTCCCCATCTACAGAAATTTGAAGGCACATGCCAAAGGAATAGCAATAGTGAAGGGCACCTGAGGACATTTGCTCCTTACAGAGCCCTCCAGGAGACGAGGAATCTGCCATTCCCAAGGAGCCCAGAGATGGCCCAAGAGGGAGAGAGGACAGCCACTGGAGCACTCACAATCAGCTACTGCTGTCTGCAAGATGCTGCACTTGCCAAACATGTTTTGATGGAAGCCATCTCATCCCAAATTTGTAACACGAACAGTCTGGGGGTTTCACTTGAGTTCAGCTGAAATTCAGACCAGAAAATAACAAGACTGCTCTCCCAACAACTCATCCTAACATGATGCGTCTCATTTCCTACGTATTAAAGAACAAATGATAAAACCTGGTATTTATGAGCTTGGACTTGCAACCAACTTTAATTTCATATCCATTTGAAGAAAAGGGGTAGGTCCCCCCAAAGTCTCACTGAGCAGATCTACACTCACAAATGCCACTCTTGCTCCAAGTCCAAGACATTTCCCATGGGAACACTGCTGTACCCCAGCAACAGGGCACGATTGAGCCTACAATTAATTATATGAACATGCAAAGGACATAGGAAGCTGCCATTCCAGTGCCAGCAGTTTCTAGTTAACCTCATGTTCCAAAATGTATTGCTATTCCAAAGAAAAAAATATAAGTAACGGCAGGAAAGGTGTTTATAAAAAACATGCCTCTCCACTGTTAGTCAGTAGCCTATTCATTAATGTTTGGAAATGATGGGAAATAACGTCCTGCCTTCCACAGTAAGACAGAAATATGATGAAAATGTTTGTATGCATTGATTGAGCAAAGGGAAAACTTTTTCAAGCTGCCCTTCTGACTCCAGTGTATCAACAGTTTGTCCCCCCTGCCCCATGACTACATCTGACACCACCTCCCTGGCTTCTATCACGAGTTGAAAAGTGCTAGTCAGATTCCAAGATAAACCTGTCAATAGTGAGGCACAGACATTCGCATTCTTCCCTACCTGCTTGTGTCAGCTGTTTGTCTGGGAGCAGCCCCTTGAAAAGCTTTTACTGAGGGAGAAAAGGGAAGGAGGATGCAGAGGGCATTTCAAACAGGAAGAAAATCAGGGAGGGGAACCCCACAAAGACTGCAAAGAGAAAATAAAATTAAAACCCCCACAAAAACTGTCCCCATCAGGTCCTCCCAACAACCTTCTTTATCAGAGGTTCATTGTCAATCAATTAGCCAAGGCAGCAGGGGTCTGCAGGAAGGGGGGTAGCTCCAGAGACAATGGTCTGCCCTGTTGTATTACTATTTAATCACTTTTCCTAAATAAATAAAGCAGCCCTGAGGTGCTGTCATGTCAAGGGAATTTATAACAAAAAAACCCTTCATTTTTCATTGGTCATTACTTTTCCTTCCCTCCCACCCCTGCAGGACTGGAGAGGGTTATTACTGTAGCCTTAAGTTCCATCTTTGTGTTGCTTGCCTTTGATTCCCACTCGGACCTTGCCACTTTCTGGCACTAATTTGTCAGGCCGAACAAAGGAGGGATTTGTACCTCCTGTAAGGTCTCAATTAGGAAAGGCTTCTGCTGTATTATGTGCCATTGGGACAGGACACAAAGACGGTAATTACAGGAATTTGCACTAAATGGCTGAAGAATTCACAGCAAAACTTTTCTTCCTCCCCCCTCCTCATCCTTTTCCAAGCTCACCCCTCCCAGCAGCCCTGGGGAAAACCGCTCTCAATGCCTGCAAGATGTAATTACCAACAGCAGGCCCCTTAGGTTAAACAGCAGCCCATGCCAGGGGGAGCAGAGCAAACTGCCTGCAGGGAGCAAGGTACAAGGAGAGTCTCAGCTTTCTGGTGTGCCTCCAAAGGCTCCTCACACAAACTTTTCTGAGCCAGACGAGTTTCCCCAGTTTCTCCCAGCTGTAATTGCAATTCCTCATTTCTTTGCACCGTGCTAACAGCTACAAGTTCCAGGCAACTCTCAAAGACCAGCTTGAAGGGTCTCTCACAGATGGCAAAGGGTCCAAAACCACAGGAAGTGCTCTGCATCCCCACCCTCAGGTGCAGGGAATCCCAGTGGCCAGCTCCTCACAGCCTCCCCACCATCACATTTCTTTGCACAAGTGTTTTGCAGTTTTGCAGCCTAAAAGCAGGTCACGGGAGCACCGGGGATGCCTCACGTGTGTCAGGAAACCATGCAACCCTGACACGGCCAGAGCAGCTTACTTCTGTGGGGAACGCATGAGTGTGTGCAGATCAATCATCCCATGTTTGGGAGAGGAAATCCATCCTTTCCCACAGAAAAGTCTGCTCCCATACTACATAATGCAAGACTAAAACCTCTTTCATATTGAGCACATGCATTTTGTTCCCATCCCAGGGCCTGATCCTATTTTTGACGAGGGCACTGGAAATGCTCACTTGAAACTCTCCTGGACCTCAGTAAAAGGCAAAATTATGATTTTTTTTCCTCTCCTGAGCTTAATAAAAGAAATTAAGAGACAGGGTTAAAGTTTCAACATTGTCTGGGACATTCCCTTAAAATTAGGCTGTTAATTCCACTGCCCTCTTGAGTTTCATAAAGCTCTCTACTAGGTAACACACTCGGCTAGATCCATCTTGGGCATATATATTTGACCCATTCCCAGAGTCTTCCTCCAGTTTTCACTCTCACAACTATCCTTAAAAGTAAGACATGACCATTGTCCAAAAGTGTTCAGGTAACGAGGGTTATCACAGGACCCAGGCACCTTCAGTGTCAGCAGTAGTTTGCCACATAACTACTCCCAGAATAAAAACAATGCGCAGTCACACAAAGAACATGTAGCCAAGAACAGAACTTAGTTCAGGCAGAAGCCCAAATGTTGTGACCAAATCACTAACTGCAGTGAGGACAATCTTCATGATGCTTCATGACAGCAGGTGTGTGCCATGCACTGGAGACGTGGCCAGGAACACTGCCCATGGGTGACTACTAGACAGGGACAAACCCAGCTGCACCCACAGCAAGTTCCAAGGACAACCCAGTACTTCTGGGGCTCAGGTCTCCTGTGGAAGGGATTCAGGCCAGCCAGCAGGTCCTGGACCCTCCCCCCCCGCCACCCAGAGCCATGCATGGCTCCAGAGCAACAGGAGACCTCCACATCAGACCCCTGCCCCAGAGCAGAGTGGGGAAGAGGCAGGACCCTCATAGCTCCCATAACAAAAGAGGAAAACCCTCCAGAAAAGTTGTTTCTGATAAAACTGACAACTTCTGAGTGCAACTGAAGCCACCGAGTACAGCTTAAGCACAAAGCATCCAGATTTGTTCCACAATGTTACCCTTGCTAAAGGAAAAGGACTATGTATCCACATGGGTCCCCTCTCTTTTCACTTCATTCCCAAACTGGGTAAAATCATGATGGAGCCTAGGACTAGAGTCAGCAGTCAAATGAACCGAGATTTTCAATTAGATGCAGAGGCTTAAGGTCATGTTTTCATCCCTGCCTCAAGGGAAGAACCAAGCAGATGAGCTTATTTTGTTACATTATGTTCCTCAGTGCTGGAACACAAGTTGCCAAATGACAATGTTTCAGGGAAGCATAAATGCTTTGAGGAATCTCCTCAGAAGGCCCAGATCTGAAACTGAGTTCAAAAAATTACCTGGAGACGTACTAATAAAAAGAAGCAAAAGCGCTCAGAGTTGGAAAGTTGCATCATGTCCAGAATTCAAATCTCTTGGATTCTGGACCACCTTTCCAGTGTCCTGAATCAAGAAAACAGCTGAGCCACCCTGTAAGGCAGCCCTAGCCCATGTAGTGCTGTATGTGCAAAGAAAGCCTAACACACCAAAGTATTTATGGCCACAGTGAGATGCAGGGATCGGCTGTGTGCTGCTAAAACACATACATGCTCTTCTGAGTGATTTCCTTTTTTGTGCAGAATGGGAGTGGGTGCAGGTGCTGCAGCCTGCTTGCTTACCTGCACACTTGAAGCTCTGAACTGTGAGCCCTCTCTCTAGAGACAGCGTGGTCAGGATGCTCAGGAAGCTGGTGGTCACAGACTGGCGCTTGCTCTTCCTAAGATCATTTCCAAAGGGGCGATCTCCAGGTTTGCTCCGAAGCGTGACCTGTGGGTTCTGAGTTAAACTTCTAGTAGCATTGGCTGCTGCTCTCAGTGCCTCCATCCACTCCTGGGCCCTCTGACGGGTCTCTGCCCGCAGGCGGAGGACATCCTGGGGAAAAATGACCTGAAAGCAAGAGTCACAGCCATCCTGAGTATCTGTCTGGACTGACAGGCACACATCCACATTGTAGCTCAGCAGAGGATCTTCATCCAGCCTACCCGGTTGAAATGCCATGAGATAAGACCTGTTCAAGACAAAAGTAAATGCCTTCCAGTTATTCTGGATGGTCAACCTATAAAGAGTCCCTGATTTGAGGATATTTTGGTACTCTTTAGTGTTTTCAGTCAAATTCATGGATAGGAAGAGCTCCACAGGCTTCTCTAACAATCCATTGGTTTTGGAAAGGTCACTGTTATTTTCAGGCTTTGGCACATTCTCCAGTTTCTCCTGTGGTCTTGTGAAAACAGGCACAGAAGCACGTACCAATTCCCAGAGCTTCTGTCCCCAGTCCAAAGCCTCCCATGAGGACTCCGCCTTCAGCTGTAGCTGCGAGTTGTCTGACAGGACAGCATCCACCACTTTGGTTTCAATGCAACCACTGACAGTGACCCTTTGAAAATGCATGAGTGGATACACGCTGGGAAGAGTCTGGTTGCCACTGCTGTCCAAGCAATAGAGGTACAGTTTGTACGGGGAGAGCTCAGCGTAACAGGTTTGCCAGTAGCTGTCGCTGCCTCTTCTAATTTCTAAGTATCCCTTCTTCAGAATATTTGGGAACATTGGCTTGTGTTCTAGAGGAAACAAAATGAGAATGTTACCATTAGTTCTTTTTAATTAGTCGTTTCAAACTGCTATGTCATTCTGGCTTATACATCTTTCCTACGCATACATGATGTATCTGGAGGATAGGACCACAGAAATAGCATTCACCCAATAGGTTATAATTATCCAACACAGGCACTGACTACATTTGAACAAACGAGAATACAGCACTATTTTATCCAGAGGTACCAAAATACTTTACAAAAAAGGCGACAGGGAAAGAGAGGGACAGAGAACCAAAGCCATTTTCCTGAGATTATCCAGAACAGCGACAGAGCAACAAAACTCTCCAACTCCCCCAGAACCTAGTCCAGAAGAGTACAGCATTATCAAGTAATTTCTTGCCAACTAAAATAGATTTCAACAGTGAGAAACACGTGAAAATGAAAACAACACCTTCCCCTTCTGCCCCACTCTTTCCCAGGCTCAACTTTGTGCTTTCACAAACACCACCTCTACCTCCCCTCTGTCCCAAGCAGCAGAAGAAGAATGAGGGGTCATGGTCAGTTCCTCTGGCTGCTCCTTCCTCCTCACTCTTTTCCCCTGTTCCAGTGTGGGTCCTCTCCAGGGGCTGCAGTCCTTCAGGATAAACTCCTTCTCAGGAGCGCTCCATGGTCATAGCTCTGTTCAGGAAATCTCCACCTTCTCCAGTATGGGGTCCTGGATGGAGCTGCAGGAAGATACCTGCTCCACCATGTTCTCCCCCCAGGTTCCAGGGAATCCCTGCCTGTGGGCCACTGGCTGGAACAGCACTCAGGCACTGCTTCTGGACTTAGCCAGGACACAGGGAATGGAGAACTGTGCCCAACAACTGCAGTTTCTTACCACATTTCAGCACGATCCAGAACCAGAACATTTTGCACAGCTTCGTTTAATAGAGAGGAGCTTTGCTGATTTATGAGAATCAGGCTCAGGACCAGCAGATATGACCAAGAATGAAAAGTCAGAGGCTGTCCAGTCTCAAACACATGCATCTAAGCATCTCAGCACTGCAGGTGCTTCAGAGCAGACCCTTTCACAAACCTTGGCTCAAGACAAAGCCGAGGGTAATTCTCTTTGTCCCCAGAAAACCAGCCATACATGAATACTCTGGCCACCAAAGTGATACAGATTTAGAAAGAATTATCTAATGCTTTCCCAAGTTTTAAAAAAAGGTTTCCGTACAAAATTTGTTCCAATCTCATTTGCACCACTTCAGCCACATGCAGACATTGTATTTTCACCTTGGGCTGGACATGCAGCTCTATGCCATTTTTGTTGGTCCCCATATAAATTCAGTGGCATTCAATTGTTTAACATTGACTTTAACACTTGGCACCCCAAAACCACATGTCCTTGAGGAACAATTCTTGCTCCCATTTGACTTTTACTTCATCTTTACAGTGAGGGTACCTCTGATGGGTCTTGACTTGCAAACAGTGCCAGAATTAACAGACACAAGTGAAGAGGTTTCTGCCTCCAGCTGTCCATCTCCCTTGGAGACCGCTATTCCTGACGCAGGAGCAAGGCAGCCACCTGGGAACAGCTCCTCATCCACTGCCAGGCACAATTAGGTCAAAACGAAATCAGCATCAATTGACCTTAACACACAGCAGCATCACAAACCACAGCAATACAGGAGCTGTTTCACTCATGGTTTCTGCCCTCAGGCTGACAACCTTTGAAAGATGGATAGGGGAGACAGCTGGAGGCACAAAATATTTTCAGCATCTCAGCTTAACCAGTTACCACTCACGTTAACAGGTCACACTCTTGACAAGTTTATCACCTCCAAGTATACCTAGGGTGTCTTCCTCGCAGAGATAAGAGAACAGAAGCATCTGGGCTTGACGAAGCTTGAAAACAAAGAGCCAAAGATGAACATGTACAGAAGTTACTGCTACCCCATCTGTATTGGGTTTCCCAGCTAACATGGCCAGGACTGCTGGTCAAGCTGTTGTCACTACTGCTGGCTAACAGGCGAGTCTGTCTACCCTCCCAGGGGCACAAGGAGAGTCAGGGACTATGAATATCTGAGGGACTTAGTTACTTTCCCTCAGTATGAGGGGGACAGTTGGTATCAGAAGTAATGGCTTCTGATACCAGCTGGTGAGAAAGCAGAACTTAGGCTGTAACCTACAGTCTAAGGAGATGCTCCCATCCTTGGCTGAAAGCATTGCTGCAGTTGGTTGCAAGACTTTCACGCATGAGCAGGAGGAAGATTCAGAACAGCAACTGCGTAAGAGCTCTGGCTAGCTCTTCAATGAAGACCAGCTTTAAGGATGTATAAGGAGTAAGTAAACAAGCTTCAGTTAAACTTTATGAACATGCATGAGAATTAATTGCCTGATACACTTAATGTGAGTATGCAAACCTCAAGGAGGTTAAAAAACAGGGGAAGGATGCTACCTCCCATCCACACTAACAAAAAGGATGCACCCAGATTTCATTTTTCCAGCTCAGCCTCAGTTTTCCCACATCACCCACATACTCAGAACAGAGCCCACATTTAACACTGTGTTTAAAGCACTCTACACTTCATCCACAAAAATTTACTGCATATATGAGTGAAAGCGTAACAGCAGTTAAAAATGTGCTACTTTGGCACTAGGTCTGAAAAGGTAGAAAAGAAATCAATGTAACCGCATCTTGCAGACAAATAAGCTACTCAAGAGTATTTCAGCTAAATATGAAAACTGAAAGCCTAATCTAAAACTCAAAATGGTAGAGAAAAAGCACACTTTCATAGCCCAAATGGATAGATACACATGCACGCTCACACACTAAAAGAGAACTAATTTTGTTCATCGTACATCTCTGGCCCTGACATTCATTAGTATTTCTGCTGTAACTCAAAAGCCATTAATTTCTCTGAAACCCACACTAATCCCTTTGTAGTGCAGATAATGGGCAGCCATTCTAGAGTCATCTTCCTTTTCTATTAATCCAATCAGGGAGGCAGTGCTTCTGCGGCTCCAACTGCAATCTCTCTCACTTCCATCAAGTACAGATGACAGTTCAAGCTTCTTGATAATAAGACAACTCATAACCTTCCCCCAGCCTCCTTCATCTGCCCACAGGTTTGCTTGTATTTTGTTGAGTTAGAGAAAGGTTATCTCTCCCTGCCTTTCACAGAGGCAGCCCTGTCTCCCTCCTTTGCCCCCCTCCTTCCCTTCAAGCTCCCATGAATCAGCTCCACTGGCTCTTGCTCTAACTGGGACAGAACCAGAAGCCAACTTGATTAAAATTAAATGCCTCGTATTGTTTCGGTCAGAGCAATAGATGCTGGCAGAGACAGGTTGAATCCATATGCTACACATACACACACTTTACAACCCGCTGCTCCTTTATCTCCTCGACATGCAATGTGCCAGATAATACCTTTCCACTCAGAGAGCAAATGTTACCATCGCTCCCATCAGCCTTCCAAACAGAAACTGCATCTCTTTTCCTCCCTACAGAGACAGGGGAGTAAATTGAGGAAGAGTGAAAAAACGGAAATAATGACAGCAAATAGCCCACGCCTGAGCCATTTGGAGTTACAGTTTCAAGGGAACAGAGGGAAAAAAGCAGAGGGAAGCAAAGAAAGACTCAGCAGCCAGGGACAGGGCAGCATCTTCCTCAGTGTTTCTCCTCTCCTTTGAGAACTGCCCACTTGTCCCAGCCAGGAACTATGCACAGAGGACACACCAACCCCTCTCCACACTGGGGGCTGTTGGTGCAACCAGCACCCCAGGAGAGAGTCCAAATGTCTCAGCATGTCCAGAAGATACATGCTCCTGAAAAACTGACTGTACTTTCATCCCCATTAGTATGGCAGGAAAACTTGAGCTGTTTTCCAACACTGAAACATTTCTGATGGCAGTAATACCAAGTAACGTGGAAAAGAGCAGAAGCAGAGATGCCTACTTTCTGAGGGTTTGTCTCTTGAGGTGGCACTCTTCTCTGGATTCTCTAGTAATTGATGAGCATGCGTTACAGAGTTCTTATCAATGGTCCTCCAATTTGATCTCCATAGAAGTTAGGTTTCACATAGAACCTCTGGGACTTAAAATGCTCTCCAATTGGTCTGGGCTAATCACAGGCTTGATGGGGTTTGCTAGATCAGGGGCAAATTGTGCCTCAGCCAGTGTGATTCAGATCTACAGTGTCCTGTAAATGACTGTAAAAATACAGTCTTTTCTTCCCACTTATTTGCCCATCTGGTTCTGCAGGTATTTCTCTTTCAGGCAAGTATATCTGATTCCACTTGGTCCCAAAATAATGGCATTCATATTTAGCCACAGATTTCCAGCAGATTTTAGCCAGGTCTGGCTTCCCCAAATGCCATCTCTTTTCAAGGGACCAGTACAGCAGTGGGACTTGTAACCAGGTAGCTGTCTGCATTAATTTATATAAAGAAACGGCATCTCTCCCCACCATATGGGAATTCACTCTGTTATCTTCCTTAAGCTTAGGGAAAGCAAAACCTTCTTTGAAAATGTTAAACTTGCAAGCTCTTCATTTTAGATTTATGCATTGCTAGTGAGACTGGCTTTGCTGTTTACCAAAAATAAGCTCCTCACTGAATGAACTGCTGAAACAGATGGCTAAAGAACCTCAACAATTTATTCCTTAATAAATTATATAGTCTTTCCCTTCAGGTGTGGCATTGTATGAGAAAGACATGAGAAACTCTGCTGATGTCTATAGGATCCTGGCTGCCCAGCCACTCCATCCAATCCTTTTTGCTCCTCTGCAGCAAGTGGAACACTTGTATAGTGTGCATACTGACACAGAGCCTGTGTGAAGGGGGCTGTAAAGAAGGAGGCTGGATTCAAAGTGCAGGACCAGCCCAGAACAGGACTCAATTCTGGCAGAAACAGAAGTATAATGAGTTGAAAGAGATCGTTACTTACTACCAGTTAGGAGATGCATGAAGCAGCAGTACTTGCAGAAGAAGTGAGAATATCAAATAAGGATAGATTTGCTGATGTTTTTATAAATCCACTTAATTCAGCTTTAAAAAGTTGGAAGAAAGGGTATGAGAGCTGGCTGACACCACTAAGGGAATGATAGCAACTAACCTGCAAATTCAGTTATGAAAGTCATCACAACAGCACTGGAAGCAATCAGCACTGCCCTAGGAGATGAAATCTGTTCATTAACTTTATGGAGTATTATAATTTTGGAGCAAAAATCTCCATAAAGAATAACCCTCCCAGCCAGAAGAGCTTCACAACCAAACTCATCAGTGCCGTTTACTTTAATCCTCCTGCTCTGTGAATTTACCCACTGTATTTATATGTGAGGCCCTGCCATCACCTCCCTCTGCACTCCACCCTGCATCCTCCACAGCCTCGCAGGCAAGGGAGTGGAGCAGGTCACGTTTCCACTGGAGGAGGTAGCTGCCCAGTCTAACCCCCTCCACTGCTACTGTTGCTCTCTGCCAGCTCCTCATGGCCCTTGTAGCTCAAAGGATGCCCAAGCCCAAGGAGCAATCAGGAGTGAGCCTGCAGGGAACAAGTGCTGAACACCCTGACTTAGCCAGGGGGGTTAGCATCATCCAGCAGATGAGTTGAAGTCTAAATTATACTCTCATTTCATGCTGGGCAAAGTGCCTCACCTCTCTTTGTCCCTGCTCACCCTCCCTATCCTTACTGTGTGGTGTATTCAAACTCATGAGAGAAGGCACTTCTTGCTAGGTGTGCAGACAGTCCCTGGCACTTACAGATCTCCGCAGTGAAGGGCATCCCACTCGCATTCTATTTTAAATAACATTTTTGCCTCCTCAAATCTTGATAGGCCCCAAATCTCTGTGATACAGTTACCTTTTCCTTGACTACCTTTTAATGCTGAAAACAAACTGGCCACAGGGTGGAGTGGGGGTTGGAACAGGGACATCAGTTCTCCAACTGGCCTGATACCTCTGGGATTATTTCCAAGTGGTTTGAGGCTTCCTGCTCTCCACAGGGGAAGGTGCAGAAGTGTTGTTTCCACACATCTGCCTCTCAGCACCATTATCTTCTGCGTAACACCACAGACCTATAATGGTCTGCCATCCCAGTGGCAATTAATGGCCTTGGTCTGCCCTGATCGTGTAGCTTCTTACACACCACAAAGAACAGTGCTACAGGGGTGTTCTACAGAATCACAAATGGCAATTAGGCTTCAGAGACCTCCCTGGCTAGTACCAGCCACCATTACTGAGGCTGAGGGTGAGGATAGCTGGCAAACAAACACCCTGACATAAAGCCTGTGTGGTCATCAGAGTAAGAGAAAGCAGCACTGTAAAACGATTCCTCAGAACGCAAAGCTCACCCCCAGTCCCCAACCTGTTAATCAGTGGTGTGTTGCTCATGAATACAGATTTAGGTGTCTTACCTCTATAAAAACACACAAGTATGTACCAGAGCTATATGAAGAGGAGCCAAGCCTTGCTTGAAACATCCCCTGCACAAACTCTGAGTACAAGATCATACCCCAAAAGTGTCCCAGACGATGGCTAGGGTCCCAGCCAGTTGGAAAAAGATGTGAAGAGAGGAGGGGAAAGACATTTTGTCAAACCAGTCTGCCAAAGGAAGATGGTGAAATCCTGGTCTCAATCAGACACAGCAGAATTTGGGCCCGTTGGCCAGTTTGAAGACAGTCACCTTTCTAAGATATGTCTGTTTTGCCACAGTGCTGCACAATCCTGTAGGCTCAGCTTCCTGACAGAACATAGTGCCAAAATCAATATGGCTGGTGAAGTACCGCCATGGCTGCTGTCAGAGAGGGGCACAAGTTGCCAGCCTTCTGCAGCAAGGACAGTGTGTCACTGGGCAGGTGCTCAGCACAAATGACAGTTTCCCACACGGGCATGGTAGGCAAACAGAACAGCCATCCAGGAAAAGTACCATAGCACCCACACTCTCAGAAGTGGCTGTGTTTGAATGAAAACATCCACACTCATACGTTGTGTTTTAATGATCTAAGCAAGCTTTTGCTGGATACTACAGAAGCTGCATTCTCCCTTTGTTTGCAAGGCCACATGCCCAGAAATACAGAAGCCTGACTTGAATTTGGTTACAACTTCCGTCCTTGCTAGGTCCACTTCCCGCTTGACACTGCTCTGCAGCCCAAACAGTGCTCATTTCTAGCACACTAGCTGTTCTCCCAGCAGGCCTACGCAGATACTGCCCCAAAAGGCACAGCTTCTTTTGAGATCCTTTTCTTTCACAGCACATGGAAAAGTTCCAGTTTAATTTTATTTGTATTATAAAAAAGCAAGCAGCAGGAACAGATAAGCTCATAGTAATAAATATACTATGAAGATAAGGAAAAAAAAACTGTTAAGAGCTAATCTATGCAGCAACTCGGCCATCCTCGGAGGACTGGGAGACCTCTGCAGGCTCCAGAGGGAAGTCCACTGCAGTGAGGACTGACAGGAGCGGCTGAAGTTGCACTCACTGTCTCATATGCATCCATTTAATCCGCATTAAAGCCCTGGAAAGGGGTGTCGCCACAGGCTGCGGCCACTGTGATCCCTTCAACCACTGCCGTAGCTTGCAGCCAACCTTAAAATCCATTTTTTCAGTCTTTCGTGGAGAACGATTACCAGTCCCAGATACGCACACTTGCAACGCCTGCTTTCTTGCTTTTGCTTTTCTCCTTTCAGCTCAGCTCACAGCAGCAAACTTTATAGCAGCCTCTTTTGTAAACACAGAGGGAAGAAATACCACAGTTACCTTCTAAGACCTGCACAGCAGCTGAACAGGTTACGGAAACAGGTTAAAAGAGTGCATTTTCAGAGCACAGAAGTTCTCTTTCCTCAAGGATGGTACCCCTGCCTTCAAACATCCCATGCAGAAAGGCTCTTGGAAGGCACGCAGCAAGCACTGACAAATGCCTTGTACCTTCACAAAAGGCAACAGAAGAAATGTGGCTGAGCCCTTCAGAGGTCCTGACTGCTGATGGGCTGTGGGCGAGTACTGGGGGAGGTTCTTCAGTCACTCTTACTAATCCATTTTTCCCCCTTTTTCAGTTCACCTCAGATGAGCTAGAAGGTACCTGACACTATTGCAGACAGTCTAAACCCAAGAGCTTCCTTCACTGAAACCTGTCAATTTCTGTTTTTGTTGAGAGTGCTGATATTGCTACACTTCACAAAACTACTTTAGAGATGTGAGGTCTTCACAGTTACAACTTGCAACTACAAACTGTTTAACATGAAAGCATAACGATAAAGAGCGTATCACACTCTAACACAGTTTGTTCACTTTTTCTGTATGAAGAAAAACTTCACTGGGTTAACTGCATTTAAAAAGTGTAAGTGCCTGCTGAAGGGCTGGGAAGAGTACAAGTGAACTTCACTGCTACTACCAAAGCAGCACGCCTTGGGTACTCACTGTGATAGGGACTGCCTGGACACAGCTAAGCTTAAGGAATCAATTAATTGCTGTTTTAAGCCAAGTGGACTGGACCAGCTGAAGTGGGAGCCAGGGTTGAAAGGCATACAGAAGTGTTACATGTTAAGTTAAATCCATGAGATGCCCAGGATACAGCTGACGAGCCCTGAGAGCTCTGTCTTCAGGCTTCTAGGCATGTTCCTGTTCTGCATCCCTTCCACGAGAAGGGCAGAGACCCCACTCTACAAGAAGCAATGTATCTCCCTGAACAAAAATAGCAGCAAGTATACTTGTCAACCAAGAGAACCCTTCTCTGGGATAAAGCAACTACGTCACAATATAACACAGTAACTTACAGGGTTTTGTAGGTATATATACATTCATATACCTACACATTATGTAGGCACCTGCTTTTCATTCTCCAGAATAGCGGACTTATCTGGAAAACCTAACTCAAAAGGCATGTTTTAACCCTGAACAGGCTACCTATTCGTAACTGGAGTCATTCCACCATACATGCAAACACGCTTGCTTTCACAGCCCTTTGATTTAGAAATTCCTTTGTTAAGTCCTGCCTTTATTTAGGTTATAAAAATGTTGGTGGCACTGGCTGCTTTTCTTTTCCATAAGCACCCAGTGCATTTCTGGCATCTACAAAATAAATCATGGACATGGAGACACTGGGTTAGTGTTTCCGAAGCCCTGAGCACAAAATCTTCCAGTGCAGCGCTTGAGAAAGGAAAAGGAAGAAGAATCGCTTGCTGAAACACCGCTTCATACTGCCCACTGGAGACGCCTGCCTCCATCTGATAACAAGACTTCCTGTAGCCCATACAAAGCTGGCAGAGATGCCTTAATATTGACAAGCACAAATTGCATGCTTGAGTTTTTGTTAATTGTTTATAGACTGAACAGCCAGCATTTCTTAAAGAAACAGAGCAGAGGTCTCAGGCCTCACAGTAAAGCTTTGTATGCCCCTTTTTAGTGGGCACTCTAACTAAAAACTGACTTTGTTTGGATTTGACATTCTCCCATTAGCTTTAGCATTCAAAGTTTTTTTTCAGTTTGGGAACATCAGGTAAGGAAAAGGTCAGAAATACATAACATCTTTTTCTTTTCCTGAGTCAAACTGAACAAAATAGAAGCAAAAAGTAAACCATGCTTAGTTTTTAAACCACAAAACAGAAGACTGGTTTAAAAACTGATCCTTAGGCAGACAAGCAGACAGAGCTACACCAAAGACAACAGAACTGTGCTGGCTGCTGTCCTCTTAAGAGCTACCTCACAGCTGTCTGCTCTTGGGGGGCTGTCTGGTTTTATGTAAACACCCAGCTCCTCTTTCAAGATAAATATCAGAAACAAATAGGAAAGTCCTCATATCAACAGGAACAATAAAGCACCAGCACGAACCTGTGTTTCCTTGGATGTCCTCTCCCTTGGTTAGTGCCAGGTAAGAGAGCAGAGCGCAGTTATTGTCCTGACCGGGCGCAGGTGGCTGCTGCAGGGAGGTCCCCGTGAAGACCACTCCCCAGTTTACATGGCTGATATCAGAGCGTGACCTGTTGTGCCCTGGTTTGAATGTGGAGGTTTCCTCATTCTGCACCAGGATGTCATTCACCGAGCGAGGCCTGTCTCTCCTCCGCTGGCAGATATGGAAGATGTTAAAAGATGTGGTCTCCCTTTCCCCTGCCCAAGCAAGGTTGTCAGCAGCTGTTCCCTTCTGCACCATACACTGGTCTTTGGCAGGGAATGCTGTCTGCGCTTTGGTTTCCAAGAGGCCATTTTTGCAGTGATCCCAGATGAGGGTACTTTTGGCTAAGGAGGCGACGTTCCTCAGGTTCCTGCTTTCTGTGATCTGGTCAAATACCTCGTGCCCAACCAGTTCGGGGACCTCATGCACGCCATACACCTCAGAGGGCTGCACAGTCTTTTCAAGCTTTGTATCAAAACTATTGAAAAAGTCTTCAGTCACTTCCAAGGCAGGGCTAATGTCATCAACTTCAAGAGCCTCCATATCCTGTGCTGCCAGTGGGCACAAGGTGTTGCGATGCTGTAAGAAGATAACACATCAATATCCAGACAAAGAGCTGTTTCTCATCTGTCCTTGGCACACTTAGAGGTGGTGGGGCAAATACGTTCACCAGTTACAATCCTTAGTAGCAGAAAGGAGCCAAATCAATCTGCCTTCAGATGGAAGACTTGAGTCAAGTGGGCTACTGTCCTTCTAAGAAATAAGCTTCTGTACCTGTAAAGCAAAGCAAAACATCACATCAGTAAGGGCCTTTTCCCAGATGAATACATTTAATCACATCACTCTTTTCAGTCACAGTCCCTTTGATTTTAATTCCTTCTTCATTTGGCACCAACATTATTGTGTATGAACAACCCCTCTGCGGTTCCTGCTGTTCACTATGTGTGAACTCTGTGTATTATCACTTCTTGAACTGGAACCTGCAGACAGCAGGATGAGGCACCAGGTAGAGGGGAACCAAAGTGATGCCATTTATTAACCAAGCTTTAGGAAGCTGGACTGAGAGGTAGCACTGACTAGCACCACAAATGCAGCCACCTAGGGAATGCTTAGAACAGGTTCCCTTGGGGATGTAAGAAAAAGTTCTGTAATAAAGGGTTAGTAAAATAGGCCAACCAACCTCAAATAGTTTGCCTTTTTCTCCCAGATTGCTTGCACTCCCAATTTTAGGAGACCAACATGAGTTTTACAGTAGCTAGTTTTCCTACTTGTCTGCATAAACAGAACTATAGTATTTGCCTAATAAATCTACACTGTTAGGCTGCTGCAGAGCACCACACAGAGCCTCTCTCTCTCTCCCTAGAATATTGTCAGGAACCTAAGTGAAACCATTGCCCCAGAAAGACAATGCATCTTACCAGCAAAACAAAATATACCATATCCTGTACTGTCATAAACCTGCAGATCTTTCCTTCCAAGCTACTGACACACTGGGCAAAACGTAAGAGTGGCAAAGGGCTTTAAGTCTGAAACTACTGAGGAGCTGTACTGAACCACCTGAGCTTACATCTGTGAGGAGGATGGGTGGTTTCTATTCCCTGTTGTGCAATAAATAACGTGGGGCTCTCATAACTGATTTCTGTCACACCAAGCCTGATGCCTTCTAACCTCTCCCTGCTGAAGCTCCATCCACAGGGCTGCCAGGGTCGAGGGACGTGCACAGTAGGTATGGTTAAACTGGGGAAAACAGTCAAATGTGTCCAAGTTCTTGGCACCTGGAGACTGGGCATTCATGCTAGCAGGAAAACGGCTCCCATGGCTGCTAGAAGAAATCACAATACCTAGAGCTTGTACACGCAGAACAGTCTATACATCAGAGATCTACATCCCAGTTTTGAACACATCAGCTCAAGTCCTAGGAGCAGCAAAGCAGTATTAGCTCAGAGTTCTGCCTAGATTCATCCTCTCTTAACAGAACTAATTAGCCTGGGCAGGGCTGATAATTAGCAGCTCATTAGCTTTCGAATGCTGCTGAAGTGCTACCAGGACCCATGAAGATTTACACTTAGCAGGAAAAAACATCTATTAAACAGCATCAAACACAGATAATACTTCTATTTAAGGTTCTTCTTTTTAATCCAGAACAGTCTATTTGCCAAACTTCTATCAGCAAAGTCATTTAAACAGGCACACTTTCCTACAGCGAGCCAGAGGGACAAAGGAGGCCAGCAGCTCCTCCAAGAAGAGGGACACAGAATCCCATAGCACAATCCAACCCCTTCTGCAATCACCATCTGTCTTCCTCCCATCCCTGCTTCAGTTGTGACAGCCATGACACAGTCGGGTTCAAAAGCAGCAGCTCATTCTCCCTCCTAACAAACAGATCAGCAGTTCAGTCCACAAACACAATCCAAGCAAATAACTTTTAAAAACAATAAAAAAATCACATACATAACTCTGGAAACATCAAGTTTTTACAGTGGGATCTTTCTCCCCCTTATCTCTTTGCAAGGATTCACTTCACCAACCTCTTAGTGAACCACAACTAGGATCAGCTTTGAAAAGTCAGCAGAGTAAGACACTGAAGGCAGAGCCAGAACCATAACCAGTGGGGTGAACAAAACAGATCTGGAGCGGTTTCAAATCAGAGCAGTATGGGAACAGACTCTTTGCAAAGCTGTGCAACTGTGCCAGCTGATGGCAGTCAGAAACAGCCATCCTGGGCACACCTGTGTTGTCAGCTTAATGGAGCAGGGAGTTCACTCTCGAAGCTCATTCTTGCCAGTAACCCCAGAACAGTGTTCTTATCCCTGGCACCTTAGACCTTGGTAGCTCTAGAACAGACTAACGGACATGTAAACAGTCCACTTATTCTACATCCTTCTATGATATGTCTTTACAGCAAAACTGATATTTTAAAGTTGCAAAACTGCAGCAGGCATTCACTCAAACAAAACCAGCACTAACACAATCATATACCAACAGTGAAAGCTACAGGCTGGCCCATTCAAAGATGCTGTTTCACTGGAGTTGGCAGAGAATACAGCTTTGCTATCACTCAAACGACTGGAGCAACAATCACTCCAGAAGGGCTTGTGACATGCTACTGAATAACTTCAGTGGTAGCGGATGTAATGTTGCTCTGTTCTTTATTTTAAATCATTAGAAAAGGTGAAAAGCAAGGGGGAGAGAGGGGAAAGGGGAGGGATTTACACTTACATTTAACAGGTTTATTTCTAAATGCTGGAGGCTTCATGTGGCTGCATGTTTCTCTGGATCTTGTGAGTCTGGATCCATCCGGTGTCATGCAACGAAGCGTAGCGATGTCTAACTGACCTCATATCCAGTAAGATGCTGAATCATAAGGTCATGAGAAGATTACAGGCCCCTGCATCACACAGTTCACAAACTGCAGCACTCATACCTTTCAAACTAGTCTGTTTGCTCTGCTCGATACAGATGTGAAAGGTGATCTCAATGGAGATGGGCTCAATTCCCTCCTACATTGCCAAGAAACTCCTTAGATCAAAGAAAGAGTTGTGTCAGTAATTCCCACAGGCACTGGGATTCTGCAGTCACATATCCTCCATAAACAATTTGGCATTTTCTGACAGTGGCACACAACAAAAATTCAATTCAGGCATCTGCACAGATTTGGTGCCAAATGAAAGCAAACTTTGATATGTCAGTAAACAGCTCCATCGGAATTCCCTCCAGGACTGGAAATCAATTCCTTCACATGACAGGGAAAAAAAAAGTCAAATAAGATAGGATGAACTCCTTTTAAACTGCTATAAAATGTATTGCCTTAGGTATGTTACTTGGAAACACCTGAAATTTTCCAAAAACATTCAGCTTAAAACAGTGAATAGGACAGGAAGAGAGAAGCATCAGAGCAAACTCTTAGAGACTGCCAAAGCTATACGCAACTCTAAGCAGGGATTTTTTTATGGGAAGCAGTCATCTATTTGTTCATCTAGGCCCCTACTCTTACTAGAAAAAAAAGGTGAAGGAACATGGTGCATTGTACTTAGCAAAAACTGCTGGACACAGGGATTGCAGCAGCTGAAAAACATGTTCTTCTAATGTCTGCTTAGTGCAGATACAGCACTCATCTGTGATCGTGCAGCAGTCAGATAATTAGTCTGTACTTACAAGTAAATCTTTACTCCCATGAGCTTATAGTGGCCATGTTACTCATATGGCTGAGTTGAAGAGCAAGGACTCTGGTCATGCCAAGTGAGACATAGAACTTCAGTTTACTTCCCTTACAGAAACCACAAGGACTTAACCTAGGTGACAGCACAGCCTGACAGCAAAGTCATGGATGACAAATGCCAAGGAATGTACAATGGAATTGATCGTTTAACTCCCTGATGTGCTTTTCTGGACCCCCACAGGCCAGGAAAAATACCTGGCATTGCATGACGAAAGTTAAGAAGCATGGAAAAGCAAGGGTAGAAATCAATCTTGCAGGCGATACACACCATCACAACAGGCACTCGCTGTGTACCCCCAGCTTACACAGGATGCTCAAGACTGTTCATTGTAGCTCAGGAGAGAAAGCTAGAGCCAGCATCTGTTTAAGAACCAGTGACTGAAGAAATCTTTAGCCCACCCATTCATACAAAAAGTTTATACAAAAAAAGCAACTTTCAGTTCGGTTTCCTAAGGAAACAGGATTTATGCCACCATCCTGCCCATCTGCCAGTTATTCTCCTCTCTCTTGAGGTGTACAGGCAACTTCAACTAGATGTGACAAAGCAGAAGTGTCTTTGAAGATGCAGTTCTTGAACCACTGTTCAACCCTGGACAGGAAACAGGGCAAAGTCACCCTCCTGCTAAAGGAGAAGCAGGCAAAACTCAATCCCTTAACCTTTCTAAGAGGCCAGTGCTATCACATGGGTCTCTCCACAGCACAAGTGGCTAGTGTGAGATGGATCTAAAAGCACTGGGAAGCACAGGGGGAAAGCAGGAAGGATGAATAGGAGGCATCACACAGCTTGACAAGAAGTCTTGCTGGTTTTGGTGCTCACGAGACCCCCTCTCTTCAGTACACAGGTAACAGAGATGCATAAAACAATGAGTGCTACGCATCAGATAAATAGGAACTTCCCCTTTTCTCTTGTATTTGGAGAGAGAATTAGAAAGGAACAATCGAAGATGATGGCAAGCAATGTGTTCAGAAGGAAAAGCATAAATGAGAAGAGCTCACAGCCAGCAAAGGATAGCAAGAGGCAGGTAATAAAGGTTCCCCAAGTCTCATTGATTCCTAACTACCTTTATGCTCGAATTCCTGGCAAAGATTTGGGTCTCAAGTTTTATCTCAAGAGCACAAGAGGAATTTTACAAGTTACCTGCATGCAAATAGAGAGCAGGGGTGCCTCAGCCACTGGAGAGCTTGTGCTATCCCCTTCTCAGCACACTGGAACCTGCTGTGGGAACCAGCTCTGCTTATCTCGTGCTGTACTGCAACCCTGGGCTGAAACTCCAGTGCCAACAAGAAAACTGAAAGAGACTTTCTTTAAATTAGGTAACAATTTGGTAGCCGAGCACATTCAAGCAGCCTCAGGTAGCTTAATTTCTGTTATGTTGCAGACCTGGACCACTACAGTCCAGTTTATGGGCTGTGACAAGCCTGCTCTGTACAACAGGTCCCCTTAAGAAAAGATGGATGTACAGCTTTGTTAAATACAGCCCACTGGGGCTTGAGCAGCTAGTATGTAATGAGCTTTTCTGTCTCTTAGATTGAGCAACCTCAGCCTGTGACCTGAGTGTCTTCTGGTGGCACCCTGAACCATCACAGCCTATGGGTTTTGCTGCTACGATTTCTGACATAGCTCTGTGGGTCACATAGCCAAGTATTGCCCAGAATCTAAATGGGATGCACTTAAATCAATGTCAGTCCCTGAAAACCGGGCTCTGCTGTGCGGAATCCCTGATAAAAGCTATGAAGCTGAAGACACAGATACTACCTCTTAGGTAAGAGGTGGAGCTATATTTGTCAGGTAGGCACACCTGAATGGATAGAAGAGAGAATGAGGATGCACAGATGGCTGACTGTCACACACACAGTCTTTACCATTGCCTACGCACTTCTATATACCACTGGCAGAGAATGGTTGAAAAACTCGGTGGCAGCACAATGCAAGGTATTGTGGAGTGCCCTCTTTCCAGCAGCATCCTGCTGTAATTATGTGGAAGATGCTGTATTTATTTATAGCACAGCAAGGCCTACTAAGCAGACATCCTCATCTTGTTCTGACCAGAAGCTTGCTCAAAGCATGATGGCATCTAGGTTTCTCTCCCAGTCCAAGCCCTCTCTCCCTTAGCTGTACAGGAAGAGTAGTATCATAGCTCCTGTGGTTGCAGCCTCAGCTTACAACATCCCCAGTCAGATCCACTGTACTGTGTGCCATCCATATATAGCCAAAAAGCAGTCCTGGTCCAAAACACTCATATTCCTAGTGTTTATGAATCCCACGCACACAGTGGCCAGTTTTCTGAGCCATGACTGAAAGCTGCACTCCTGCTTGTCTCTCATACTCTATTTGGAGAAGCAACTGCTAACTAGGAATTTCATAAGGAATGGCTGCAGGGAGCAAGCATCAGCTGGGACACTGTCTCCGTGCAAACTATTGAATTTTCTTGTATTTTGGCTGTGTTTTGTTCCCTCAGCACAAGGCAAGCATTCTCCCCAAGTGATTCCAAAATCCCAGGTGATTTACTGCTGTGCACACCAAGTGAGCAACACAGCACACAGGATTATTAGATTCATCATTAAAATATCTGGATGAAATTTACAGTGCCTCAGAAAGAAGATAAAACTACAAGAAGCTTTTCACAGGGAACAGGGGATCACAGGTTCAAAGACATTGTCACAGGACAGTCAATAGCTGGTTCAACATGGCCTGGAAACTGCCTGTAAGTCACATTTTTAAAGCCCCTCTTCAAAAGCCTTTTTCCACCAAAACACAGCCAAGGAAGTAATTGCTTAAAGTTATCACATGATCCCAATTTTGAAGTGTCCCACGTAAATAGCTTTGACTGATATTTCTGCACAGAACCACTGACAATATGCAGGAAAAGTTCACAGAAACTGGAAAAAGAGGCTCTGTGGTCATGAATGTTTAGTTGTAAGGCCAGGCACTAGAGAGGATGACTGTAAGCCCAAGTATGTCCATGTTACAAGGCCACCTGTTTGCTAGTTTCATTGCCCTTAGGATGGAATTGAATGTCAACATTTATCAGTGAATAACAGCTCCCATATCCTGCCTGTTAAACCCAGGGAGAAGCAAAGGGCAGGAACAGCTGCAATTAACTTGGTGCCTCACCACAGTCAGGCTAAAAAACAGCAGTAATCTCCTCCATACTACAGAAAACAAAACAACTAACAGGAAACACATAAAATGAAGAAAGGGGTAAAACCAGGGAGGAAGATGAACGCCGTATTCTGTGAGGGGAAGCAGACCCTTAGCGAGGATACATGAGTCTCCCTCTGTGAAGCATACATTTTCCCCAGCTGCTGATCTGACCCAGTGCCTTTAACAAGCAAGCTCCCCAGGCATCCTCCCTGTGTGGGGAACTAACACATCACTGCTACAGAACAGCTCATCCAGTAATGAGCATGCAGTAATGGATAATAAATAGTGCTTACAGTATATATTATCTTTAATTTGAACTGCATTTTGGAACAGTAATTAAATGCAAGAAACTCTGAGCTGAAAAGTATGCAACAGCCTGCTGCACCAGAACAAAGCGGGTCCAGAGGATGAGGAGGACCCAGCAGTGGAGGAGTACTGACCACAGAAAGCTTTTCTGCATCTGGAGACTGACTGCTGTACAGCTTTCCCCACATCTTTACCAGTGACTCCTTTGCTTTGCAGCCATCTGACACACATCCCTCTTGGCTGAGGAGCAGCACCACTAATGAGAGGGCTGCATCACTTCCCGTGGATGAGTAACCATTTGAAATCTCAGTAGCTGGACTGGGACTTTGGAAAGGATGAAGGACCCTTGGCAAGGAGAGGAAAAGAAAGCAAAGCAGACTGACCAGAGGGGAGTTAGCTGATACCAGCCCAGGCTGCAGGCCAGCCAAACCCATCAGCGTGTGGGCACCTTCACAGGTCACATCACACTAGAACCCAGACTACCCCCTTGTGCATGCTGCCTGCTGGCTGGCTGACTTCACAGGGAAGGAAGTCAGGCATGTAGAGGAACAGAAGCTCTTCTGAGTCCTAGCACCAGCCCTGTAGATCTTGTGGATGCAACCACCTCAAACTCACATTTCAGACACAAAATCCACATGGACAAACAGAATGAACCAGTACAGTGATTTGGCCTGAGGCGCAGATGTTTGGTCTTGGTTAAGACCAAATAACAACCTAAGGGAGGGTGAGTGACTTCCATGCTTGGGTTTGTTTGCTTTGTGTGTACAGGTTTGTTTAAAGTCGTGTAACTTGCATTTTACATGCTGTCCTTAACTACAAGAACTCCTACCTGTTCTGCGAGGCAGACAAGACACCACAGAACAGCCTGGTACCTCCCAAGCTGAGCACAAAGAATACAGAGACTGTCAGGGAGCAGGGTATCCAAAAGGGGCAATACAAACCTCATCCAGTACAAAAGGAAAGATGATTCAACTGGACACTCAAGAAACAACAACCAACATGATTCAATCTAATACTTCTGCCCTGATGCACCAGCTTGTCTTCTGCTAGGAGACAAGAGGTCAGAAATTAAGACATTTTTAGTTTGCACCTGTGAGTTCTGAACAGAAATAACAGGCAAATTTAGCTCTTGGGGATGTTGCTCCTCCAGGACTCATTTACAGAGCCTGCTGGAAACCAGGCTGCTGAGCTTTCAGCTGTTGTGTGCAGCAATGTCCTGCTGCACTCCAAGGTAGCTGCATTTAAGCAACGAAGGACATACAGAAGGGGGGCTGCCAGATGAAGACATTTATTTCCTTATAACTAGGACTCAGAAGACACTTGGGGACTTTTCTAGAAGAAGCAGTAGCTGGTATAAACAGCAGTATAACTGAATCCTTTACCATCTATGCCAGACTACACAATTTTAGTCAGCTCTGCAGGGCAGATTCTCTGCGACACAGCAAGCAGGAGGCAATGACCAGGCTCCAGCATAGCCCAGTATAACCCCACAGCTGGAAATAACAGCTGCCATTGCCCCAGAGGCCAGGAGGGTAAGAAACACAGCATCTCCCACAAGAACACAGGAGATATTTCTTCCCTGAGATCATGCTATGGCTGCAAGAAAATACACCTGACACCAGTATCTGCCCAGCACACAGCTTTCTGAGCAGCCCTGATCTGCGACTGTAGCCAGCTTCTCTCTCTTAACTATGGTACCCAAAGAGCTCAGCTGGGACAGTATAAGCCTTTCCACGGTGAGACCTGGATTTCCATTAACTATTAGTGGTTGAATGCTGCCATTGACGGAAATACAGTGTTTAATAACAAACTCATTTTGAACCTCAAACTAAGCCCTCCTCTCGTCTTTCAAACAGCCAGGACCACAGTGGTTTGGCACTCTTCCAGGGGAAGAGGGGCAGTGGATGGAAGGGAAGCAGTGATCCAAATAATGCTGAAGTTTGGCAAATTACCACAGCAGCCAGAACCCTCAGGTCCTGGCAGCCCTGCTGCAACAGCCAACCCTGCAGCTTGGCTGTAACCGCATGTACTGCTTCAGTCCTGCTCAGCACAAACACTTGCTGATATCTAAACTGAACTATATTACAGGAGATCTTAGCAGAAGCCCAGTGGAAGACTCAAAACATCTGATGAAATTGCAATGTTAACGCACAAGGTGACTTCAGCCTGGTAAGGTTCTGCAGGAATGCTGTTCATAGCTACTGCAGACTGATAAAATCCATCATTCCACTATGTAGTGCCGTGTTTCAATTTTAATTCCAAATTTAATTCACTAATTTCAGATACATAAACCTTGAAAGTGGCAAGATGAAAACTACTGTTGCTAAAAGGTCCTGCTAAAATTCAGATGCTTTCTTATTCTTACATAATGTCATTTTTGGTAGTCACTTGGTGGGATTATGCAGTGCCTAAAATTAGATCTGTCTGTAAATCTTTGTGGGATCGGGGGTGTAAGTGCAGAACCAAAAACTGATCGGGAGCAAGTCACCATTCCTTACACAAACCCAAGCTTGAGTTTCTTTACTTATCTCTTACCTTGTGATGCCAGCAATCCTAGCATCTTCACTGGCACTCCTGCTAGCACACATTGCCACAGAACAGATACTCTCCCGTCAGGCCTATTTGATTCCAGAAGCTGTGTTTTGTGTGCTTGCTCCATGAAAGAAGCAATTCTACCGCAGTGTAAGAAGGCCACAGCATTATGTCATTCTTCAGGCTATTAGAATAGAGAGGGACGCCTGCACACTGTGCCTACACACGCTGGAGTTCGATCCCACCGATGGGGAGCAGCCCAAAATTCCTGCTGGGATCGCGACCAGCTACGGGTGGGGGAAACTGCATCCCGGGCCTTTCCGCGCACACGGGAGCGGTGCCTTTCCAGACGGACACATGACTGACTACAGGCGTGTTTGTGCTACAAGCGCAAGCACGGCCGCGCCCGGGTCCTCGCACGCAGCCCGCAGCCAGGACGGCGGGGGCTGCGGGGAGCCCGGGCCGGCTGCGCGCCGCGGGGGGCTGCGGAACCTCGCCGACCCTTCGAGCCCCGCACCGACCACAGACCAAAGCGAGTATTTACCTGCCGCCCGCGGGCCGCGCTCTGCCTCTGCTCCCAGGAGGGGCTGCCGGCGAGCAGCCCACGGCCCCTCCTCGCCGCCGCGCCGCTGCCGGGCCGCGTCCTGCCGCAAAGCCGTCCCGGCCGCCGCGGGAAACGGCTCCGCGGCACCAAGGTTCCTCCCGCCGCCGCCGCCCGCCGCGCTCGGGGAACCGCGGGCAGCGGTGCGCAGCGGCGAGCGGTCCCCTGCGGCCCGGCGACAGCGCGGGTGGCGGAGGCAGAGCCGGTCGGCGGCACCCCGCGCGGGTGCAGGAACGCGCCGGGTCCTACTTCCCCTTGAAAGTAATGATGGAAACACCTTCAGGTTTTGCCGTGTAAGCAGAAGGGGTAACTCTGAACCTGGCGTGCTTAAAAGCAGCTGAGATTCGTAGCGGGCTGATTGTGACTTCAGGAGAGATGGGTAACACAAACTCCTAAACGCATTTTTACCCATCCCAAGTGCAAGCACGCTTACCAAGGCGTGAAGGCTGCAGGGAGCAGCACGGCGGTACGTGGATTCGTATTGCCACAGGGCAGCAAAAAGAGCTGAGGCACGACCTGTTACCCAAAGAAAAGAAAAAAGTTACACAACTGTAACAAATATCTGATTTCGGTGGTGTGTGGCATGGCACCCCGCCTGGCAGCGCAAAAATAACCTCACTGGGAGAAATACCCACGTGTGGATTAGGGATGTACCTGAATCTTGACAGCTGGGGTGCGCAAACCAATTCTGAGTTTTGCCTGTACACATCTAAAACCACAGGCACTGTGCTGCTTCACTGTGGCCCAGGGCAGCCAGTGGTACTGCGCTGAGCCGGGCAACAGAGGCAAGGGCAGTGCTCAGATGTAACTGCACGAAAACATGGTGCTGAGCTGAGTCCATACAGAGGATTCACAACCTACAACAAAAGGCAGGTGTTAGGTTAGCTTCCATCCACACACACCAACCAGTTCATGTAGACTGCAAAACGTGACTGGCACGATTAATAAAGTGGTGTTCATACAGGTTATCTCAGTTCAGTGACAGCATGGAGGAATGAGAGCCATTGGCAGAAGAAAATAAACACCCGATTATCCAACTGAAAACTAATTAATCTTGGCCTTTACAAATAATGTATTACTTGAGCACCATACATCTCAAGTCCTGCTCCTAAAGATGAATGGCTTCTTGACTAACAGTCGAAGATTGATCTTTTAATTCCAATTCAACTGTTTGCACTGCAAGCCCTCAAGGATGAGGCAGTACCATCAGTTGCCATGTTATTTATTGCCATCCAGCCTTTCCTGGAATGGTACTGAGCCATTTATCTCTTGGGCTCCTCAAAAGTAAAGAAGATCTCTAGGTCTCCTGGGTCTGACGACACTTCAGGATGTTGCCTCTCTGCCAGCTATAAGTACAAGTCCCCTTCTAGGCCAAGCATACTCATGCAGGAGGCACAGGGCACGCTGGTTTATCACTGCGGGGACACAAATGTTGGGGAAGCAGAGCAGGTAGGCAGTGTGGGCTGAGCTCAAAGAGAAGTGTAAAATCCATCCCTCCCTCTGATCTCACTGCTGTGTTGAAGAGAAATTGCCTGTGTTTAACATTACATTATGCTTAGATAGTTTTCTGGGAAGTGGCCCATCTACCATTTTCTACCTGCAGCGGAAAAAAGTGATTTCAGACTGCAGGACATAGATGGCATTTCTTTTTAAGGGAGGACAGCTGAGAGGCCTTGATCAAGAACAATCAGCCCTCTACTCAAAAACAGACTCCCAGAGACACTTGGCATCCTTAAATCCAGCAGGACAGTAACCACATGCCGAGAACCCAAACCAATCTCAGTTGTCTTAGCAGCCAAGTCAAGTCCCAGGCATTCAGTGCAGCCAGGTACTATTTCTGCCCCCTCTCTTTCCTACAGCCCAAGCATGTCCCACGGGGCTCTGCAGGACCCCATTTGCCAAACACATTCAGGCATTTACAATAGTTTGTGTTGTGCAGTCCCCAGCACTTTGCTGTGCAGGAGATGGGAAAGGCACCTCCTGCCAGGGCTTCATGCCCTGCCAGATGCTTCCCTGGGGCCAGCCAGCACCAAGCACTGCCTGGTGCACTGTAGGGTCTAGGAAACACTGTGTTCCCCAAAGAAAGAGAAGGAACACATAAAGAGGCTGACACTGGTCTGATATTTTGTCCTTCTCAGCTCCCTAAGGAACATATTTCCCAGCTCTACATACTCTTAACTCTGTTCTTACCTTCTGGAAACGTTTTGAAAATGTACTGGGATGGGCAACACTTTCCATTTCCTAGGCAAAATGCAATTAACATGCACCTTTCTTACATTGGCTGCTAAGGAACAGTTTAGGTTCAAGTTTTAAATTCTATCTGAGAAGTATTTTTTAAACAACTGTCACCTTTTTATTGAGAGCAGGAAAAGATGCCATCCCCTTCCTAAATCACATTTTATATCTGTGGTCCATCACATATCCCTCTACCACAGCATAAAACAACTGAATTGGAGAACAGGTGAATCTGCATTTTCTTCCTCTAGTCTGGTAGAGAATTATCTTCCTGCACTCTGTGTGCCAGTGGAAGAGCATAAATGACCAACATTATCCTTAAAAGCTGCAGGATAACACACTAATTCTGAAGGAATATTAAACTTGGACAAAAATTGTTATTACTATATATATGTACATATATATTTAAAAATGCAACCTCCATATTTTGCAATTTTCATCATTGAAACATATCACCTTCCTCCAACATGAAATCATGAGCTGTTTCATGATGTACTGATTAAAGATATACTGGTTAAAGACATGGTGGTGGCTATCCAACAGAACCGTCCATACAGCCTGACTTCCAGCTTTGTGCCCCTTGCTCATCAACCATCAACACGTGGCCCAAAACTGAGCAGAGTGCTTAGAGCCATCTGGTGGTTAACTGGACGAGTAAACAAATTGTGCCCTATACATCTACACGATGAAGACGTAAAGGAAGTCATCTTCCTGCTACTTGGAACGTCTCAAATGTCAGCTTTCTCTTGGCTTTTAGATTATGATTCTGCAAGTTTAGAGAGTTAACACAGAAAGAGGGAGAAAATGGCTCTGTTAACACTAGAAACTTAGCTGCTTTCCTTGTGGAAGAGTTTGCAGGACCAAGTGTTCTTCAGATCTGAACATCTCCCATGAGTACTGCAGAATCGCCTTCCAAAGACCAGATAATTGTACCATGCATTCCCAAGTTTGGCTCCTGTGATAAGAATCCAAATATCTTGCTCAAACTGGGAAAATTCTCAAAAATTCTTTGGGCGCATCCTTTGCTGGCATAATGTAGAAGGAGCAATGCCCGTTTATTGTGGCCATTGACAAGCTTGCCAGTTCACACCAGCTGAGCGTTAGACCCGCTGTCTTTCCCCGCTGCCTCTGAAGAAGGAGCCTTTTTTCACACGTTTTAATTACTGACTCCCTACATGGAAGCTATTACCTCACAGAAAGGCTGTTAACTGCCACGTTCAGCACAAGATGAAGCTTTTCCGATAATTGTTCCTTGAGTTCATGTTTGTGAAAATAAATATCATCAGATGATTAAATTAAACACCGCAGCCAGCCCAGCTATACACTATTTTCACTTATCATGCAGAAGGGGAGATCAAAGAGAAAGGCTCAGGTAGAGTTATTCCAACTCCTCCAAGTTTGGTTGATAGCTACCTATTGAACGCAGTAATTAGCTTCCTGCTTGGGGTGTGCAGCACAAAATTAACCCTCCCAAGAGTGGCCAGTATAGCCATTTCCTTGCTCTGTAATCAACTGGATGCAGAGGAACGACCATCACCTAATCTCCTCTGTATGGTAAAGCAGCAGCACAGCCCGAGTCTGATTTTCGAGACTCTTGGGCCTCTGTCCCCTTTGGTGCCTTGCGTGGGTGCAGGAGGAGAACTGTGCCTGGGGAACCCCAGGAAAGGCTGAAGGCACTCCTCTTCTTCAGTCCTGCGGGGCTCCTACCTCCCTGCTCTTCCCATCCTTCCCTTTTGGCGAGCAGACGAGCCCGTCTCTGCGCTCCTGCAGCGAGAGGCAGAGCGGCCCTCTCAAATTCCCAGGCTCGGGCCCTGCTTAAATAGGGAGATGATTGTTGCGGAGATGGAGCTTCGCCCAGCATTTCCCTGCTTTGCTTTCTCGGGCCGTGGAGGCCAAGAGAGGCGAGGGAAGCGGTGGGCAGCGTAGCCCCGTTCCCACTGAGAGCCCGCCGTCCTCCCCGAGAGCGCACACACCCGCGCAACCAGAAAGCTCTGCTATTCTTCTGCTAATGGGATTGGCACCGCTTAAAGCGGTCTGCGAGGGTATTGTCTGCAACCACAGCAAGAGAAACATTATTCAAAGGCCATTCAGGCCCCAAAAGAAGCGGCAGAGCAGAGTAATTATCGGAGACTCTCCATTAACGAGGGCATCTTTGCTCTTTGTCTGTGTTGGTTTAATAAGGGCCGCTAATGGGGCCGGGGGAGGGGCACACTAATGCTTCTAAACAAATCTCCTTCCCTTCCCCCCCACTCCCTGTGAGGAGAGCTGTCTTTATGGGCACTGACAGCAGAGCTGGGAGTTACCATATTGCAGAGTGACCTCCGGGAAAACTTAGTGTGAACCCAGTCGCTTTCAGCCCCATCCCCAGCGAGCCGCCGGGAGCACCGCTTGGGTAGCTGTTCTCTTTTTAGCCTTTCCATATTTCCCGGTCCTTGCTAGGCCCCTTTTATGCTCTCCCCCCGCCCGACCTCTCTCATGTCATGTCATCTTGTGACCCTTCATGGCTGGACACAACGGCGCTGAGTGGCAGTAATGAGGGACGACAGTGCAGATTAAGTTCTCGAAGCAAAACCTGGGGCTGCTGTCCTTTATCCAGCCGCTGTGACCGGGAGATGCTGCTGGGAATGCAGAACCAGAGCAGCCTCTGCTCTCCATAGGACTGGAGAAGGTAGGCTGGGATCTAGCACAGGCCAATGTCTCCTGCCTTCTGGCAGTGGTCACTTTTCTGAGATCCTTCAGAGCCACATTCAGGAGGATGGAGCCAAAATTCTTCTGAAGGGTCGTAGACTGTTCCCATCTTCAAACACCAGTTATAAGGGACACACTTCAGCGGCGGTTTACAATGTTACAGGGTCACATGCACACTGGTCCCTTAAACAGTGAAATGTGGACAAGAGGTCTCAGGAGGTCTCTGCAAAAGACAGCATTCAAACGGTGAACTGTAATGATACGCACACATGTGAATAAAGAATGATACAGCTACAGTATTCAAGGTGGTGTGGATACAAGGTTGAGAATTGCTAGACTCATTTTTAGCCAGTGAGAAAACTAAAGAACAGTAGAAGGAAATTATTCCCCTGAGTTTGTGCAGGTCTTTCACTAAAGCCAAGCCCTGGACATTGTGCTATTCTACCTCTCTTTCAAATGATACACCCCTCACAGAGGGCTGTACAATGAGCGCACAGACCACAGAGACAAAGCAGTGCCTGTGTACCTGCACATGACAGTGGTCTCAAGAGCTGGGCAGCCACCCAATGTCAGTGCTACATCTTTTGTTATGAGTAATGGTTTTATTCAGCCGCAGCATGGAATGACAAACTTCCTTGTACAGGGACCCACCCAACCCTCTCTCCATTTAGGCAAATGTCCTTGTGCTAGGTTTATCTCAAGAAGAAAAAGAAAGATATGTGGAAACTCCCCACATTTTAAGCCACAAGGCTCTGGTTTGAAGACACAGACTCCATAAGATTTCACCCTTGTTTCCTGAGGGTTTGCTAGGTTTGAAGTTTTCATGATTTTGGCCTTTTCCTTTCAACATTTCACCAGTAACTGCATCTTTTGTAACAAAAGAAACTTTTCATAGATGCTTCTCTGACTCATCTCTATAGGATCAAAACATCTCAGAACAACCTCGAAAGTCAAAGAGAGAGCAATCACCCTCTACAGACAGAGAGCTAAGTCACAGGGGAATTAAATAACAATACCTGAGGTCATTCTTGCCATGGCGAAGCTAGGAAGTGGATACTGTTCTTGCTCCAGAGTCTTAACTGCAGTGTTCCAAGATTAGTGGTATTTCTCCTCCCTCTTTTGAAATGTCTGGAGGATTACACTCCTAAAACAGAAAATCAGTCCTGTTTTCAGCAGGACTTCAGATTAACTTCATGTTAATCACAGTTTCTGTTCATATTCTCTTTTTCTTTTTAGAATAATAAGCGTTAAATATATACAGAGGAACTGCCTTTGCCTATGGATTTTGCAATCTAAGCAAGGAAGTTAATACACTGATGTGTAAAGCAATGGGTTACTAGGCCCACATGATCTGGCATCTGACTGATGTGGGTTTTGCTTTATAAGTGTTTTTAAATGTCATCCTTGTTTGCCACTAGCAGATAATACAGTCAGATTTGTTGCAAATGAAGACAGTATTTGAACAAAATCGAAAGAGTGACTCAGAAGAGAGAACTGAGATCTTGTTACCATCCCAAGTGAGGGGAAACAAATGGAGTCATCAATAAAAAGGAAAAAAGGAAGTTAGTTCATAGCTTAGAAGATATGGGTACGACACAAAAAGGCAAAAGCAATTGCAGCATGGGAAAGGCAGACAGAGATTTGGGGAGTTTTGAGACCTCACATGAAGGAAAACTTGATGAGCAGCTTGTGCATAGCAGCCGAATGGTCCTGGGATAGAAGGGAGGAGAGCTTGCAGCAGTGACAGAGGTAGGACGGGCAATGAGAGGCTGGTTAGACTGCTTCTTGAAGCTTCAGCCAGAATATTGCACTTGAAGGTAAGGCATTTAGTGTGAAAGAGATAGGAACACAGTGAGTAAAGTCTTGGAAGTAAAGTTTCAGCCTGAGAACCATCACCCTGTCAGCAACAATTTGTCCAGTTTACTCTCCCTCAGGTGCAGAGAACAGGGGGTCACTGCATTGGACCTCATCAAGTCAGTTCTATTTAGATTTGCCCTTTAACATGTATACTTCAGTACAGGGATATTTTCTCCCCAGTTTCCCCTTATCAATTCTGCTAGTATTTCCGGCTAACAATGAATGCAAGTGGATTACTTCTGGGTTGCCCTGCTTCACTCTACTGCTGTTATCCTGTCATACTTTAATCAAACGATCTAACTGAGATCCCATCTGAAGCCCACTAAAACAATGAAGAGATCTGCACTGGCTTTGCAGTTCTGGATCATGCCCTGAATTGTGTTTGAGCTCATTAATATAGATTTGAGCAATTTTTTCTATTGCATGTGCCATGAAACCAAGGGGAAAATGAACAGGAGTAAAGAGAAGTAAAAGATTCCTTTCCAGAAAATAATTTGTGTATGTTTGCAGTCTACTGCAAGCAATAGGCATATTAAAATATAGAACAAGAAGCAACTATCAGTCTGCAAGCACATCCCAGTATAGTTCAATGTAACTTCCCTGTTTTGTCTTTGCATCCTTTCAGCTCTTCTTCCTCCATGAAATAGGTCTTGCGTTGCCAGCTTAGCAAAACCCTTTCTCTCTGATGCCCTTGACTGGCACTTGCTGTGTGTTCCCTCTCCTTCTTATTCCCGCTGGCCATTCTCCTGGCCAACAGGAGTGGGACAGGAGAGAAGTACTCACCCACTTAGCAGCCAGGTAGACCAAAGCCCCACAGAAACATGGGAGACAGCAGCAGTTGTGTGACATGTTTTGCCTGTCCATGCAGCCATCCTGCACCCAAAGCCTAGGCCAGTCCCTCAACACAGCAGCACAACTTTGTGCAGCCTCCAGCCACCTCAGGGATCTCTCAAAGGCACTGCTTCCTTGCAATACAGACGCAGCCTACGTGAGCTCCTTGCTGGGCAACAAATACTGTAGGAAGAAAATACTGATGCTAGAGTGAGATCAACGAACAGATGTTATACAACAATGACTTCCAGTCCCAGCACCCCTGAAAAGCTTTGCATAGGGAGACATGAAACTTATCCCGTCTAGAAGAAGTCTCAGGTGCCAGAGCTTTCACAAATGTAATCTGCTGGTTCTACTTCAAAAAAATGTCTCTAACAACTGGCTATTGCTAGTTGCTGATGCTAGAAACTTGCTCTTGTTTTCTCCTCAGAAATTACATCCAGACCTTCAGTGTCCACCTTGGCACTCCTCTACAGTGAGTGACTCTTCATCTTAAAGCTAATTCAATTAGCAAGTAGCAGAGGAAGAAAAGAAGCAAGATGTCATTGCTGCTGCATTCCTGAGAACTCTGGCTGGTGCTATAGCCATTCAGGTACAGCTGTAGTTAGATAAGAGTTAAAGCAGCCCCAAGGCTCTTTTTCTGTAAGGTATGAGAAGGAAAGGCATAAATGTGACCCACAGGTGTACTTTCTCCATAGCCTGAAACTTCTATACAAATACTGTCCTGAGAGCTAAAATCCTCTTTACTCCATGTACCCATCATTGTACTCATGTTCAGAATTCGTACAAGATCAACCATTTTGTAAATCCTGTATGAAGGAAAACTCAGTGAACTATAATAGTCTCGGTCTTTTCAATTTTGACTTCTATTGTTAGAGTACAAATAAAAAGAAGAGGATAAAAAAAGGCTGACAAGGTTTACAGGAAATCCAGCTGAACAAAAGCGATGCCATCAGTGTTCATGGAGATAAACTGCTTACGTGATAAAGGAACATGACCACCTTAGCCTGAGGATTCTTTACAGTGTCACCTACAATAAAGCAGATAACAGCATCATTTGGTACTTACTGCATCCTTTAAGAGTAAAGCCCAAGCAATCTGGCTTTATGCAATTGCATTACAAGATACCGAGAAGAAAAACTTCAGCCCTCTGCACCCAGGTGTACCCTAGTACCTTTTATTCCACAAGCTAGACTGAGCTGTTAACCATACTAATGATCAGTACTTAATGTCGGGGAAACTGTAGTACTTAAACCCAGGTATCTATGAAGTCAACATGCTGCGATGCCTTCCCTATCTGATTGATACACTGTACTTTCACCACCATGGCCCTTACAGTGAAGAGCAGACTAAAGGCTCCCAGTTACGTTGATGCTGGCCTGACAGCACACCAAAGCCCCTCAGAAGGACAGAGCTCCCTCCTTCCTGTTGTGGAAAAAGGGAGAAAAATGACACTGAACACTTCTCACCCCTGAACTGGAAAGGGTCAGAGCAGCCTCACACTTCCCTCCAGTGGTATGGCACTTGTTTATCTTGCATTAAACACTTCACGTTTAGAATAAACTAAGTTAGAAGAAGAACAGTTCAGCTGTATTGTGCAGGAGATGGCTATTGGAAGCCTGTGTTTATGCAAGCCACCAGAACCCTTGCCGGAGCGTGCACTTGTGCATCGCTGCCCTCTCCCGGGCAGATCTGCCCCTGCACAAACACAGAGCCCTGGCTCCCAAAACTTAGCAGAGCGCTTGATTTTGCTTTGTCTCAGGCTCTGGAGGAATATGGTTACCCACTTACTAACCATCGCACTGACACTTTCAGTAACCTCACTGAGCATCACAGCGACAGCTGAGCTGCTTCTAAAGGAATCAGGATTTGTTAAGATGTAATTAAACAGGACACAGGTAGTGCTCACTAGGATTAGAAATTCACATGTCTAGAACTAAATCACTGTTCTATGCAAAGTTACCTTAGCTAAGATATTTAAGCTAGCCCATTCCAAGCGTGGCTGTGCTTTAACCCCCAAAGACCTTCTAATGGCTGATCTGCTCTCAACAGCCCCATTACAGTGATAGATCCCTAGCACAAAAAACCAAACCACCGTGAGGGAGGTGGCAAAAGAGTTAGCCAACATGTTTCAGGATGCTACCTCCCGCTTTCAAGTCTCCTCCTGGGTGCTTTGGAAAATTCCCCTTGGATTATTTCTTTGTGCATACACACACACACACACACTGTCTGCACGTGCATGCACTCTCACCATCCAGCCCCTGCACACATCAATGCTGTTAATGCTGCTTATGCTCTTTCTACACTTCCTTCCCATATTAGGGCCTTCTAGGGCACAAATCCTGCCAGCTTCCTTTCCAAATCTTCTGTTCTGGCTAATTCTTTCTGCGGAAACCTGGTGAGGCGTTCCTCAGCTCCGGCCAAGTGAGAACCAGCCTTCTTTACAGCCTGCTGCTGGCTGTCCATCTTGTTGAAGTGCTTCTGGGATGCCTTAGGTCCACCAGGCTGGCACAGCCTTCATTGTCTCAGAGAAGACCTTAAATCCAAGATACATTTGCCTTTCACACTCGCAAACCCACTGAGCAGTTGTTCACTGAATATGTACCTCATGGGAATGCATGTAAGACGTCTGCTGTCAGCTCCTCCATACCCTGACAGTGGCCTCCCTCCAGCTCTATGACTGGGGAGAGGGCACAACACAGAGAGGCTTAGGAAACACATCCCTTAGCTGTGTCCACCCAGCAGCCTCTCCTAACTGAAGTATTATTAGATTGGGCAAGAAGATACTGTGAAAGGTCTGCCTTTGTGCCTCAAGGAACTGGCTGAGCACAAAAACGCAGCACATCAGGACTTCTCAAGAACACTATGTGATGCTTTGATGCCTACGTGCAAGGCTGATGCACAACTGAATTCATTATGGCAGGTATAGTCTGAAAGCTGTGCTCTCATGAGTGCTTCCAGTGTTGCAGTCCTGTATGTAATAATAGGGATATAAGAGGGCTTATTTCCTTTAAGAAAGTTGTGAAGATAAATCCAGCCATGACAGAGAGGTGCTCGGATACAGAAGAAATTGCAGCTATAGCATTTAATTATCTGAGTGTCCCTGAAAGCCATGTGTAATTTCCTAAAGCGGACAAACTCAGCTCTTCCAATTTTGCCAGTGATGGGAAGAAGTGCATTACAGTCATCAATACCACTTTACTTCCCGTCTGTGTTTCCTCAAGAATTGTCCAAGACACCGTGTTTCACTCTGAGTGCTCAAGCCATGAGCTCCCTCTAGTATCTAAAAAGATTAATGCAGTTGATACCCTTACCATCCTAAAGGAACAGAGAACAAATGTAAGGAAGTTTCAGTAAGATGAGGGAATTCTGCCCCTTTTCTTCGTTTTGGTAAAAGAAAAGAAAACAAAAATCCTTGAAGTTAGTTGCGTGCACATACCTAAACACTGGCACCTTAAGAATTAGGAGGCAAACATGTCCACAGGACAAGAAAAGGCCAGATCTTATTTTATATCCTCAACCGTGAAACACAGGTATAAATGGCAGAAGCCCAGCCTGGGCATCAGCTTTCACAGGAAAACAGTGCAAGCTGGCAAGTTGATGATTCTGGACATGAAGATTTCTATGGAGAGACACCACTGTGCTCACTGCAAAAAGGAGCATTGTCACCAAGGAGGTAAAAAGGAGGTAACAGAAAATAATGAATTTAGATAACTGCGGGTGAGGAGGGGTGTGTGTAAAATAATCCTTTAGGGTATCTCAATATTCATGTTGGGTTTTTAAAAACTCTTCCTCTAGTCATCACTTCCATTTTACAGCATTTGGGAGCAAAACAGAGGATTCTTTTGGTTGTGCCAGAGCTCCTCTTACCCAGGAGTAAAACCTAAATGGTGTCCTATGAGTGAATTATGTGTATGAACCCCCTGCTAGGGTTTAGATCTTGCACCTAAAGACCTAAGGGTGTGTTGCATGACATCTTCTTTCCCAGACTGAGATGTAGCAAACAGATTTTGGTGGCATCTGGGATTGGTTTTAGAGGTGGAAGGTGACAAACACAAACACATGCTGAAGCATGTTTATCTCTGCTCTACTGTCTGCACTGTTTGTACTGTACCAGGGGCTCAAGCAGCTTCTCTCTGTGGCAGAGCAATTCTTTCAAAACACAAGAGAGGGCAAAGAGTATGAAACAGAACGAGGCAAAACTCCTGGCCTGCAGGCGATCTGGGTCTGCAGCTGCACATAGCCACTGGACAAAATTGCAAGCCAAAGTAATACGTAAAAGCAACAACCTTTACACTAGTGCTCAGTACTTAAAAGAGAGAGCTCCTTCTTCCCTGTTCAGGAGAAAGCCAAACAGCAGAACCCAGGACAAGAACTTTGCTAGGCTTTGCAGATTTCAGTTGTTTGCAACACTTCCTAATGACTCCGCTGCACTAGTGTCTGTTCTGTTTGATATCAAAGCCCTGTCCTTGACATACATAACATGTCCATCAGCGAGAGGGTTTCTTCATGCTGCCAATATTCCAGAAAGATCAAGTATCTATTAAACTCACTACAGAGTTTCAGTTTTGAAGAGGATGTGCAAGACTAATCTGTCCGATCAAACTGATCCAATCTTGCTGGGAGGATCACAGACTTCATTCCATGCTGCAAGTTACAGAATAAGACTATATGAAGGGAGCAGCAGAACCTCTGCTTCTTCTTTCATACAGTCCGATATGCTTTATCTTCATGCACTTGCGCTCAGATTGTTCCAATGACCCACAGACGTGGCAAGTCTGTTGTGCATGTTCTTAGGGAAAGAACAGAAGAGTGCTGAGCAGGGATAGTGAAAGAGGAGCAAGTGTCCTCCCGCCTTCCCTCCCTATGCCAGGGCAGGGGGAAAAGACACAAAGGGTGAAAGTGCAGGGAAACAAGCTGATGTGGAGAACCAGGTCGGGCCAGGCTTAGACAAGCACAAGTCTAGCAGTGCAAATGCTCCAGAAGAAGCGGTGCCTGTTGGTATTGCTTAGCGCTCATCTACATTTACAACTTTGGCAATGCCTCTCCTTCATTCATTGTTACTTTTCCTGATTCCTGATTTTATTAACATTTCTTAAAGTTAAATATTTAATTAGAAATAGCCCCCAAATTCTTCTATAATGCATGTCAGCTTGGATTCTATATTCTACTCAAAGGTAAAACCATCTATTTGCTGAGTATGTGACTAACTTAGACTGTAGATTTCAATGGCTGCCTGATCAATACAGAAGCAGCAGTTCAAGGTAACAGCCATGCTAAACATTTAAAGTTCTTTCAACACAGAAGCACGTTAGTTAATGCTTCAGGAAATACATATTTTTAAATGACTGGCTTTGTAAAGCAGCTGTGTAGACCATAAACAGTTCTAAGGTTCTTGTCTCGTCAAGCTATCACATGAAAGCAAGCTATTTGCTTTTTACAGCATGACTGAAAATGGCTTTGTGCCAACAGTTTATAGCAAGCTATCATCAATGGCTGATAAAACGATACAGTTACATGTATGTGTGCACTGTGTGAGGCTGTACATACACAAACTTCAGTCTTTTTGCAGCCTTCAGAAGTATAGCTACTGCCTAAACTTGCCGTGTCTCAATGTGTAGCACTGTAGCTATTGTTTTCTAAACAGCAGCACCTTCATCCTCTCTTTTGTATGACCCTGCAGATGACAAATGTTTCAGCAGGGCATAGACCTTCTAAAGACCCTATAATCATTATGAAGCCAGTTATCTACTGACACTCAAACCAAACAAAAATCTAATAAAAGCCAGCAGAAATGGTTTTGGATGCCTCACTGTGCTAATTCTCTAATCCTGTATGATACTGCTTGTCCCTGTTGGAACTAGATGATCTAAAGGTCCTTTCCAACCCTAACCATTCTGTGATTCTACGATTATGTCATAAACAGGGATTATAACTTCAAGATGGGAATTAGCAATAAGAACCCACCACCCAAAAAACCCAAAACCTTGCCTGTTTTCATCACACAAAATATTGAAACACCAACTCAAGAGAATGTAAATATAGAAAAATAAAAATAAAAAATATTTTTATTAAATATTAAAATCCCCCAAAGAATGGTACTTTTCATCCTAGTGGTTTAAGTCAATGTTAACACTCCTTTTTGGCACAGATCAATGGGACTGCTGGGCTGTTCAGTCAAACTGTCACTGAAAGTTGCCAGTTACGGACTATTTCCAGATGAAGCGCAAGGGATGATACCCTCCCCAGATCCCCTGAGAATATCCTGTTATTCTTTATCTCACGAGTTCATGGTGGTACTCTCTATGTAAAAGTTTACATCACTCCAACATTAAAACAGCAACATAGCTGTAGATATTCTAAATTACCATTTTAAATAACATCTAACCTAAGTACTACTTTGTGGACATGTCCTTTGCAGATTAACAATGTATTTGGAAAGAATGGCTTCTTTTTCTCCACTTTAAACCACTGTTTGAATTTTTTAATTGGGAGCCCCTTTTTCACAAAGAATGGAAGAACTCTCAAAATTATCTGCTTTGTAGCACCCATACTGTTGTGTGTGTACCTTTATCACCCACCCTGCGAATGAATGCAGCAAGAAAAACTTCCTCACATTTCCTATTAGAATGCTTTAAAGCAATTCAGGAAGTTGGCTTTAGAAGGGAAACTTTCAAGAAAGATGTATCAGCTAATGCTAGCTCCTGTTCTCAGGCATTACTACTTCTGGGCACCAACCTAAAACGAGATTCTGTCATCACAGAGGTAAGCAAATTTCTAAATCATTACCAGTTGCTTGGATTTGAAGCAATAATCTGAACTATTTCTACACATGTTAAGCATGTATTGAGAACCTAATAAATAGAATACTTTTCTGTTAAAGGACAAGCATTGTAGAATGAAAATGATCATATTTACTTATTACAGCAGAACCTAAAATCACAACAGATGAAAGCGGGTGAGATCAGTTTGGTGCTTTTTCTGCCCTAAGTACCCACACTACACATGCACATCATTTATGAATGATTAGTTCCACAGTTTCTTGCAGAATCTCATATCAATTTGTATGTTCCAGGCACTTCAAGTTCATCAGCTCATTTTTCTTTCAAGGTACTAGGTAAGAGACTTCAGTGTCCCTTTGGGTACATTTAAATAGGTACCTCCCAGCATAAGTTTTTTCTCCTCAGACAACAGCATGTTAGAAGTGTATTAATTGCTCAGGCACAAAATTGGGTTAAATAAAATGGAAAACCCTAAAACCTACATCAAGATATCTTGCACAATACAGCACACTCCTTGCAATTTATACTCTACAACAAATGACTTTTGCATTAAGGAGAGGATAAAGATGTGGAATAATCAGAAGTTACAGCAAATCTGTCCATCTTCCTAGTGCACTCCATACACATACAGATGGTTTTGTATCATCTATTATACACAGACTGGCTGAAAGGAATCACACTGGAGGGGGCCTCCACAGGTTGAGTGGCCCAAGCTCAGCTAAGGTCACGGACAGATTCTCATCTAAACACAGGAAAATTCCAGCACTGTATTCCTGTTGCGCAAGACTTCTCCAGAAGTAGTTTACCTGGATACATAGTCCAGGAAAATCTCCACTAAACACCTCTTTCAAGCTATCTCCCTCTCCACAGCATCACTTTTGACAGGATTGTTAAGCTTCTAGAATATCACTAAAGCTCCAGACAGACATTTCTCTAGCATAAACCTGTTGCAAGTGTAAGTAGGTGTCAAAATTTCTCAAGAGATGTAATATAATGGAAGAGCATGTCTCTATGGTTTGATTACTTACCTTTAAGTTCAGTGCTACAAAAACAACCCTTGAGACTAATCAATACCTTAGCCAGAAATGTTTCACTCAAAACTTTAAATCAGCTTACCCTGGCAATGTTCAGAACACAGTGCTATGGTTCCAATTACGTTTCAATAGTATCAATGTCCCAAATACCTGGAAGCATAATTTTTATGACTACAGCATTTATTACAGCTGCAATCAATCAACATACTTTAAATATCATAGCAATTATGTCACACAACTTATCAGTTGTGTGACTTCTCAGTTGAAAGAGGCATAAGTTTTATCCAGTTCTACTCCTAGCTGTATTTGATGGATGTAAAAATGTGAAAGTATCTTGGAATCTTAAAAAGCCTCTCAGTATTTCATCTGAAAGGTGTATTCCACAGAAGTAAATCCAGGTGAAAATGGTAGAGGACATAAGACACATTTCCTTATCATAATGAAAAGTAAATTACTACTGGGGAAAAAAAAACAGTATTTACACCCAAGTTCACAGCAGCAGTCCTGGAGGGCTGACAGGCATAAGAAAGTAGCAACAGTCAGGCAAATATTATTCCCCCCGTCTCCCTTCTAATGAAAAATGGGGAACTACAAATTTGAACACAGATTTACTTTGCCAAATTCTACTTAAAAAAAATGGAGTTTCAATTTTTGACTGCAGTAGTACTTTTAAACTGTTTTCTCATGCAACCCATTTATACTGGGATGTGGTCAACAGCACTAAAAATGAACTTTAACTCAGTAAGTGGCTTTACTAGACACCTCTTTCCATGGCTGGGGTTAACAGGAACAAACTTGTGTGGGTGCTACTGAGAGGGTTTTGGAGATTTGTCGCAAGAGTGTACTCAGGTCC